TTGACCAGGTATCGAACTGGCAACCTTTCGGTGCACAGGACAACATTCAACCAACAAAGCCACTCTGTTTGGGCTATAATTAAACATTTTTATATTTAAAATGTTTAAATATAAGGAATAAATGATCGCTCTAAATTAGAGTCGGGCATCTCCTAATTGTATTGTCAAAAGTCATATCATGGTCATTACTAAGGCTTTTAGAATGCAATTTCTCATTTGCCATGAAGATGACTACAAAACATTTTCCCAATAGGTTTTCTTTCTGCTATATTGGTAGCATTGCTATGTTTAGCCTTTTGGGAATACTTTTCTAAGTCATATCAATCAAGGATTATAGCACCATTTGTTTTGTGGCAAAGGAACACAACTCTCTCTCTCTCTTATTGAAGAGGGGTTACCAATTTCCTGAAGATATCAGGAATTGTTCCCCACCACAAGTCAATACTGTGGAAGTCTGTGTCAAGACAGGTTCCTCAGTTGTAGATATGGTGAAAATATTAACTCAACGTTAGGATAAAATGCATGGAGGTTAGTCCTCTGGAAGGCAGGTGAGTTCATGGAGAAGGAATAATAAAAACTAGAGTCACCTGACTACTAATGTGGTCACCTGGGAACAACGAATCAGTAGGAAATTTTATTTTCCTTCTAGACCATTGTCCCATGGGATACAATGTGCTCAGAGGTGGGAGTAACAATGAAAACAGTGCCTAATGAACCAATAAAGGGAGCTGAAAATATATCCTCTGTTACAGACCATTAGGGTGTGTGCACCTTCAACTGGACAGAACATGGTGGAGTCCTAAGCCTGACTGGGGACCAATGCTTCACTCCTTCCTGCTGTCTTGTCTGGGGACAGAGCTTCAGTCTCCATCATCAGCGATCTGGGGAGGATTTCAGACTTTCACATGAAGACTTTCCACTCAGAGACCCCATCCAGGTGAGTCTGAGAGCCCAGTAGCTGCTTCAGGAAAGATTCAGAGAGATTGGACCCTGACAACTTCTACTTGAAGTCACCTGAGAGCCAAACCAGCCTAACCCATAGCTGAGAGACTGCCATGTTTGTGTGCTACGTTGCTAATTAATTTTTAAATAATTTATTTAATGTTACAACGAGAGGTTTCTGTTGGATTCAGCAAAATAGGGGTAATTGTTGACAATTAAGTGATAAGAATGGAAGTCCAATTGGATGAGACAGAGGAAGGAATTGGAGGCATTAAGTGTTTTAATAAAATTAGAACATATTAGAGGAGTGTTGCAGTTAAGGGGAGTAGGCAAATAGAGTAAAAGAGGGCATTTTTTCAACTATTTAAGATAGGATGTATTTACCCTGTTTTGTATTTTTTTTAAAGATCCAGAAACATGGGAGTAGATATACCTTGCAATAGCAATTCTTGAGGCATACATTTCACAGTACTATCACACACGTTGGGCAGTCACATGAAAATTTGTATTTAAGATGCTAATGAGCATTGTTGTGCAATACTTTTTTACCAAGAGGTGGGGAAGCAATGGAGACATTTGTGACGTATGGGGAAAAAATCAGCCAAATCTTATCACCAGTGATAACTAGTCATTTATCACTTCACACAGCAAGGAACTATGCTAAGCTTTTGAGGGAGAATATTAATTTAGAATGATTAACTTAGAATGAATCTGTTGTCTCTCCAAGTTCAAGCAGCTAACATATTGCAGATTGAGATTCAAAGCCAAGATTCAGTTTTCTGATTCAAAGAGATTTGCATCTAAAAGCATTTAGAAAAGTCTTACCATTTATCTTTTCAAAATCCTCATCTCTTGTTGTACATCGTATATTTGCTGTTATAATTTGTGTGTTTGTTCCCTTTGCCTAGTTTTCTAGTGGATGTTCAACCAGTAATACATCTTGACATCAAAAAGATAGCACTCCTTTCTCTTTTGCATAAATTCCTTTCTCTTTTGCATAAATTGGTTTTTGCTGTTTTATTAGTTATTCTGGGCATCAGGGGATAGAACTGGGGTTGGAATTCTGCCAGAAACAAGCAGCTTTGTCCTCAGCACAGTCTCTCGGGGGCCCTCTGAGCTTGTCAGATCTTGTTATTTTCCATGTCTATTTCTTTCCTCTCTCACTTTTTTCCAAATGGATTTTAATTTGTTTAATACAGGACACAAAATGATCTTAATATAATGGAGTCCCGTGTTCATGGGAGGCTTACCAACTTGAATTTGGGAATTATTTATACATTCTTTATGGTAAAGATAATTTTATGTTAACAACCTGCCCTATATCATTCCTAATTATTGTGATTGTGAGAAGAGCAGGGAGTAACATGGCCCCAGGAGGACACAGTGTGGTGTGTGTGTGTGTGTGTGTGTGTGTGTGTGTGTGCGTGTGTTTATTTTGTGAGGGATGAGCAGTTCTCTGGGCAGTGGTACCTAAGCTCATATACTCCAAATGTGACCCTTTAAAAACAGACACTACAGCACTGGCCAGTGTGGCTCAGTTGGTTGGAGTGTCATCCTGTACACCAAAAGGTGGCAGTTTCCATTCCTAGTCAGGGCACATACCTAGTTCGCAGGCGCAATCCTCAGTCAGGACACAGTCAGGAGGCAACCAATTGGGAGGCAACCAGACGATGTTTCTCTCTCACATGGTTGTTTCTCTCTCTGTGTCCCTTCCTGTCTCTCTAAAAAAAAAAAAAAATCAATAAAAAGCACATCCTTGGGTGAGGATTTAAAAATAAATAAATAAAATATTTTAAAAATAAAGACACTACAATCTTAACCAACAGATGGAAATACAGGGGAAAAAAACATTTCTATTCACAGGAATCCTTTGAATTAAAAGTTAAAAAGAAAATGAATGACATGTAGGCGAGGGACTACTTCTGTCTTGATTTCAGCAGCAGCAGTGAGGCCACATTCTTCCCCCACATTCTCTGATTTGGGTGAGGATTTAAAAATAAATAAATAAAATATTTTTAAAATAAAGACACTACAATCTTAGCCAACAGATGGAAATACAGAGGGGGAAAAAACATTTCTATTCACAGGAATCCTTTGAAATAAAAGTTAAAAAGGAAATGAATGACATGTAGGCGAAGGACTACCTCTGTCTTGATTTCAGCAGCAGCGAGGCCACATTCTTCCCCCACATTCTCTGACGCTCTCTCTCATCACTCTCCCTCTTGCTCATTCCCCTTCACACTCTGGCTTCCCAAGAACCATGTGATTTCACTCATATCCTATCTAATAAAAGAGTAATATGCAAATTAACCATCACTCCACAACAAATATGGTGGCGCCCACAGAGGCTGGGCAGGACGCTGGAGGAGTCACCCCGGCAAAGTGAGCCCAGCAGGCCATCGGGCCCGCAGGCAGCATCCAGCAGGGCCTGCTGAGCGGTTGCTGTGGTGACCTTTGAGCAGGCAAGTGGGGCTGCAGGCAGCACCCAGCAGGGCCTGCTGGGTGGTCGCTGCAGAGACCGGGGAGCAGGCAATCGGGCAGCAGGCAGCACCCAGCAGGGCCTGCTGGGCGGTTGCCATGGTGACCTGCAAGCAGGCAAGCGGGGCCTGCAGGCAGCACCCAGCAGGGCCTGCTTGCCCATCCCAGTGGTGTGGAGCAGGCAGGCCCCGCAGAGAGCAGAGAACCATGGGGAGTGGGCCCAAGCTGTCAGTAGCACATCCCCTGAGGGATCCCGAATTGGAGAAGGTGTAGGTCAGGCTGAGGGACCTCCCCACCCTTCACCCCCCACCCTGTGCACGAATTTTGTGCACCAGGCCTCTAGTGTGGGATATAAAACTGAAAGCAACAAATGGACAAACAGGAAAAATAAAAACTCATAGACACAGACAACAGTGTGGTGGTTACCAGAGAGAATAGGGGTGTGTGGATGGGGGGCTAGTAAAGGGTTAAGGGGGTCAAATACATGGTGATGGAAGGAGATTTGGCTTTGGGTGGTGGGCACACAGCGCAATAAACAGATGATGGACCATGGAATTGTGCACTTGAACCCCATATAATTTATTAACCAATGCGGTCAGTAGCACATCCCCTGAGGGATCCCGAATTGGAGAAGGTGTAGGTCAGGCTGAGGGACCTCCCCACCCTTCACCCCCCACCCTGTGCACGAATTTTGTGCACCAGGCCTCTAGTGTGGGATATAAAACTGAAAGCAACAAATGGACAAACAGGAAAAATAAAAACTCATAGACACAGACAACAGTGTGGTGGTTACCAGAGAGAATAGGGGTGTGTGGATGGGGGGCTAGTAAAGGGTTAAGGGGGTCAAATACATGGTGATGGAAGATTTGGCTTTGGATAGTGGGCACACAAAGCAATAAACAGATGATGGGTCATAGAATTGTGCACTTGAAATCCATATAATTTATTAACCAATGCGCTGCAATAAATTTAATTTTTTAAAAAGAGCCTTGAGTATCTGAAACAAATGCCACCCTCTGGGTCTTTGCACTGATTCTTCCCACAGCAGGGCACACGCTTCCCCCAGATAACTTCCTGACTCCCACTTTGTCTTCCTCTAGGGCTGCTGAAATGTCTCTTTGCAGGTCTTTCTGAGCTTTCAGTAAAATACAACACCTCCATTCACTCTATTTTATGCCTGCTTTTCTTTTTCATAGCATCTGTCACTATCTGACACAGCATATGTTTTTCTATTTGGCAATTTATATCCTTTCTTCATCATTGGAGTGTAGAAAACTATTTCTCAGCATTCTATTCTCTTACAGAAGATAGTCAGTACTCAACATAAATTCCTCAAATGCATAAAAGAATTTTCCATTAAGACTGTATATTACATGACCTCTTGGGGGAAAGCTGAGTGGAGGACAAGAATTCCTAATCACAGTTGTCCCAGCAGATCCCTTAAAGGGGATATGATCAATATAAATATAATATACAATTTTTTAACTGAAAAACATAAAAAAATTCTAGCATTTCACTATGTTAATACCCACATGTGTAAAATTAATATTGTTTTTCTTCCTAGTTATGACCACCACCACATGGTACAAGGCAATGATACACGAACTTCAGAATTTGTTCTTCTGGGACTTTCAGAGGAACCAGCACTGCAGCCCCTCATATTTGGGCTTTTCCTCTCCATGTACCTAATCACTGTGTTGGGAAACCTGCTCATCATCCTGGCCGTCAGCTCAGACTCCCACCTCCACACACCCATGTACTTCTTCCTCTCCAACCTGTCCTTGGTAGACATCTGTTTCACCTCCACCACCGTCCCAAAGATGCTGTGGAACATCCAGACACAGAGCAAAGTCATCACCTATGAAGACTGCATCACACAGATGTATTTTTTCATACTCTTTGCAGGGTTGGACGTCCTCCTCTTGACCGTGATGGCCTATGACCGCTTTGTGGCCATCTGTCACCCCCTGCACTACACAGTCATCATGAACCCCCGGCTCTGTGGACTTCTGGTTCTGGTGCCCTGGATCATGTGTATCCTGAATTCCCTGTTACAAAGTTTAGTGGTATTGAGGCTGTCTTTCTGTCCAAACTTGGAAATCCACCACTTTTTCTGTGAACTTAAACAGGTGGTCCAACTTGCCTGTTCTGACACCTTTCTTAATAACATGGTGATGTATTTTGGAGTTGGGCTGATGGGTGGTTGTCCCCTGGCCGGTATCATTTACTCTTACTCTAAGATAGTGTCCTCCATATGTGCAATCTCATCAACTGAGGGGAAGTATAAGGCATTTTCTACCTGTGCATCTCACCTCTCCATTGTCTCCTTATTTTATGGTACAAGTGCAGGAGTGTACTTTAGCTCTGCTGCTGCCCACACCTCACACTCAAGTGCAACAGCCTCAGTGATGTACACTGTGGTCACACCCATGCTGAACCCCTTTATCTACAGTCTCAGGAACAAAGACATAAAGAGGGCCCTGAAAAGATTCGTTGGGGTGGTAGTTATAAAAAGACCAATCATCCTGGGGCTGAAAAAGTGCCCATGATTACAGGGCTGCAAACATTAAGAGCCAGAAATTGCTATTCTTTGATCAGATTGGAAAACGCACTTGCTCCCTCTATTTCATGCCTGAAATTTCCATTTATTTGATTTTAAATTCCCGATACAATTTCGTAACTCCCTTGATCGAGCTTTCTGCTCTGTCTGATATCTGTACAGTTTTCCACTTTTTAATTTTTATTTTCCTAGCCTCCCCACGTGTTTCCCCACCTTGATTGAGGAATATTTGGAAATGTACATTTCTTTTGTAGAACAAATTGCATTTATTAAAAATATTTTTCTCTGAAATGACATCTAACTCCCTAGTAAATTTTCTATAGTTTTCCTGAAAGACGTTGTATTACTCACATGGAAACAAAACTACACGTGGCAATTAAGGCCACTTATGTAATTTTATTGCAGAAGAAAATTTGAAAACAAAGTGACATTTGGGTCTGTCATTCTTTTCTACATCATTATCACCAACTTAACTGCTCTTCCTGATAATGTCAACTCTAACATGCTGCTACATTGTGGTTTTTTTAATCCTCACCCAAGGATATGTTTTTATTTATTTGAGAGAGAGGGGGGAGCGAGGGAGAGAGAGAGAGAGAGAGAGAGAGAGAGAGAAATATGAGAGAGAAATATCAATGTGAGAGACAAACATCCATCGGTTGCCTCCCATACACCCCCGAACAGAAGTCAAATCTGCAACCTTTTGATGTATGGACAACTCCCCAACCAACTGAGCCACACCAGCCAGAGCTATGCTACTGAGTTTTGTAACTGGTCTCTTAGTGCATTTTTTAATTCGGCCTCGTGTCCCCTATAGGCACTGACAAAAATTGATGATCAAACATATAATTGCAGGTGGGGTCTACATTGAAAGGCACATTTGAATAAATAGATTGACCTAATATGGTCTTAGAGTCAGGGATGACTTCAAAAATGAGGAAGCAAAATTTTTAATCACATATTTTATTACTATAAAAGTTTTTCTTTTCCATACTGTACATCTACTGGTATTCATTGAAGTATGGAAAATTGGTGTCCATGTACAAGGGCTTTTAATTTTTTAAATTATAGATTATATACTATATTATATTAGTTTCAGGTATACAATAGTATGATTATACATTTCTATAACCTTCTGAATCCCACTTCTGGGTATTTATCTGAAGAAATAAAAAGACATCTATAATAAAAGATACATGCACCCCTATGTTCATTGCAGCATTGTTTACAATAGTCAAGATATGGAAGCAACCTATGTGTCCATCAATAGATTAACTGATAAAGAAGAAGTGGTACATATACACAATGGAATATTACTCAGCCTTGAAAAGAATGAAATTTGCAACAACATGGGTGAATCCAGAAGGTAATATGTTAAGTGAAATATATCAGACAAAGACAAGGGTTCTTTTCTTTTTCGTTGAGGTGAAGGATTGGTTACTATGTTTATGGTTTCTCTCTTGACTTAGCTTCCTGTTTCTACTTTAAAACTGACAGTGCTGAGTACTGATATGACTCTAAGGCTCTAAATGAAATATCTCTTCTTTTCTAAATTTTGTCATAACCATAAAATGGGCAGTGAATAACAAGATCATTATTATTCATTATATGATGAAAGGATAACCAATTAGAGAGTTTGAGTTCCTGTCCACTCATGTGGTTCAGGTACCAACTTTTGTGAAAAGGGGCATGTCCTCCCAGCTTCCCTGGTTACCTGCAAGTGAACCTCAATGGAGTTACTACTTAATACAATTATCTGAAAAAAACTTCAATACTAAAGTAATCATGAATGCTATCTTCAAATATCTGTACAAATGCCTAGAATGGGGAGAGGTATATTATTATGATTTATCTCTGTTTATTATTGTATCAGTTAGCTATTGCTATATAACAAGCCATCCTAAAGGCACTTGTTTTAATATAATGGCTTTATAATCAAATGGGATTGTATGGTGGGAAGTTGTTTTGATCTCTTCTGGGCTCATCATGAGTCACTACATTATATTTCTAAATCTCTTTCATGATGTTTTGTGCATCTGTATTGCACGTCTTTCATCAACCATAATGTGATGTTTAAGACATATATGTCTGTGTTGACCTTACCGTTTATGGTAAAAATAGCTTATCAAATGTGAATTGCCTTAATTTAATATCACAGTTCTGATATTTATATCTTAAACCTTGATTTCTTCCCAGTAATAAGAATTATTTTCATGCTGTTGCAAATGGTAAGAACTCCTTCTTTTTTACCGCAGTTTAGTATTCCATTGTGTAGATGTACCACAGTTTTCTAATCCACTCATCTGCTGATGGGCACTTAGGCTGTTTCCAAATCTTGGCTATGGTGAATTGTGCTGCTATGAACATAGGGGTGCATATATCCTTTCTATCAGACCGTCAAACCTTAGAGGGAAGGTAGGGGAGGGTGGGGGTAAGGGGGAGAGATCAACCAAAGTATGTGTATGCATGCATATAAGCCTAACCAATGGACACAGACAACAGGGGGGTGAGGGCATGAGTGAGGGGATGGGGGGGGTAATGGGGGGATAAGGACACATATGTAATACATTAACCAATAAAGAATTTTTTTTAAAAAAGAATTATTTCCCACCATTATCTGGTGTGTCTCAGCTCCCTGTGCTTTTGATCTGAGAGTATACATCACTAGAATTTTTAATCTAACTGAAACAGGAATTTTGGGGGGTGAAAAAGACAGGTTTTGGAAATTTTAGAAATTAAGGGGACCATAGGGGAAGCACAGGGCTGCAGAGCAGCAGAAGGTATATTTATAGAGTAGGAAGCTGAAAAGCTGCAACAGGCACATTTCCATAGAATGAGGGATCTGGGAACAGCAAAAGGTCTATATTTACAAAATAAAGGGAAGGAAGCCCTTCATCCAAAGGGAGAAGAAGAAAGCCCAAAGGGAATAGGAAAACAATAAGGAAGGAGGGGGGAAGAACTTCACATGTCCCACGTGAGGTTTGATCTTTGAGCCCAGGAGTTACTATAGTAACCAGAAAGGGAATAGTGACCAATCAGAGGGGATACCAAGGCACCAGGATCTGCAGCCTTTATAAGCCATAGGGAAAAGGAACTCAGTGGGACCCTTTCTCCCTCCCTACGTGGA